AGAGCAAGGAGCGCATCTACCGTGGACCTCCTGAAGGGCGACCAACAGCCGACCCATCCAAGAGGGTTTGGGAATCGACTCAAATCGCACAGGACGTGAGGCCGCTCATGGGGATGTCGAAGAAGGCCAGAAGAGAAGAGGAGAATGAGCGCTACATTGGCGGCGTCCGGGGAGAGCGGTGGAGAAGCTGTCGGTGTTGAGGAGAGTTGGAATGGACGTGGGCCGGATTTGGGATTGCTTCATTGAAGACTACCCGGAAGCGCTTGAGGTGGCCAAGAACTACAGCTCCCAAGGCAACCGACCCAACGTGGAAATGGCGTGGAAGGGGGCGCTCAAGCAGTTCTTCCAGACCCGGGCCTTCACGGACATCATCTTGAAGGACAAGTACGAATTCGACTCCCCTTTGGACCCCGAGCTGTGGGAGGCCTGGTTGAAGGCAGCGGCGGACCCGGAGCAGCGTCTGGTGGACTGGATCTGGAAGGGCGCACGCGCGCTCGGCATGAGCAGGGAGATTCCATGTTGCGGGATCTTCCCAACAGCCGACGACCCGGAGCAAGAGGCGAGCAGCTGGGGATGTCGAACTATAAAAGCTTCACGGACGAACCGGAGCATGAAGGGTTGGCGCCGGCTTTACCATGCCCCAATGCTCTCACAACTGTAGCGCGCAAGCGTTGAAACTGTGCAGCAGTGACATGAAGGATACCAGCTCCATAAACAAGGCGCGGCCAAAGCTGAAGGACTGCCTTTGACCTCGTCTACTGACATGACTCAGGACTATGCTGCGTTTGGTCTGTCGCCTATGAACAATCCATTCGGCCTTTCATTTGCGATGGACAAACGTTGGCCACTGGTTGTTTGGGTCGTGCTCAACATTGGCATCCTCGTCTTCAACAGGCTACTGCACCTGTGGCTCGCCCCAGCAGACACGGGGAAGCATGTCTGGTTACGGACTCAGTGGGCCGCCAAGTGCGCTCATGGTTCAAGGTCCTTCGGAGATTGCAAAGCTTGGCGCACAATTTGCGTTCAGGCTCTTCGAAGCTTAGCGCTCTTTCTTAAGTGGAATGTTGGTCTGCCATCAAGGCCTCCAGAGGGTTTGGCGCTTCCTTCTTGCAGTGGTGGTGGCCTCTTCCACCACATCGACTTCAAGGTAGTCCATCTCAACTTCCTCCCGGTTGCCCTTCTCTTGCCGTTCTGGAGAACACCCTGCAGGACTACGCCTACAACTTCAGGCTGTTCGAGAGTTGGCAAATCCGTTAGAAACAGGCTTTGATTCGCTCTGCTCTTGATTCAGATCGTCGTCGTATGTTGCAGGCATTGAAGAAGAGGCGTCCGATGGGGCTGGATGTCCTTGCCTCCACCTCAACTGCCACCATTGTGTCTGTTGACGCTGATGGTCAACATGTCCAGTTGGATTCACGGGTTGCTGATGTTTGTGAGGGTAGCTACACAGTCCAAGGAGCGCCGGCTCAGCTCTTCAATTTGGATGGCTCTACATGCAGCCTTCACACTGACTTCCTCCTTCGCCCTGGTCATCAGGTACAGCACCAATGTGTCCTGGCCTCGACTTCAGCCATTCATCATGCACTTCATCAACATTGGTTGACACGTTGGGGACGACCACCTGATCTTGCTCCAGAGCCCTGGCAAAAGGTTGCTACCTTTCTGGAAGCTTACCTGCCGTCTAGGCCATTGCAAATGCCTGCTCTTGAGCCGCATCTTGATGCCACTGTGCAGAAGTTCACGATCAAGTCTGCCCGTGGTATTGATGGCTTTGACTCTGCCGATCTTCAGCGTATGCCACTGAGTTTGACGGTGGGTGTAGTCTCTGACGTCCAGCGGGCTTTTGATACTGTACCACGATGGCCAATCCTTCGCATTGCCTTGCACTTGGGCTTGCCGTTGGACTTTGTGGTGGCTTGAGCTATGTTCCTTTTCAAGTCGGAGCGCTACTTCATTGTACGCCAAGCAAGCAGTCCACCTATGCTTACCACCTGTGGCTTTCCCCAAATATGTGCACTCTCCTGCGCGGCTATGCTCTTGCTGAACTTTTGCTACCATATTTGGATGCAGGTTTATAGCCCGACAGCGCTCGCATTGACCTTTGTGGACAACTACGAGATGCTTGCTCGTTCAGTCCGTGACCTTGCTCATGGGCTTGCCACTCAGTTGTCCTTCTTGGAGATGATTGATTTGCAGTTGGATCCGAAGAAGACTTTCACTTGGGTCCGCCTTGGCCCCACAGCGACAACAACTTGGACGCCTTTCGCGTCGGGTTGCTACGGTTGAGAAAGACTTGGGTGGAGCTATGACATATCGTGCTCAGCGCTCTTCTACCACCATGCAGATCATGATGGACTCCTTGCAAGAGGCCTGGCGAACTTTGCGCAGACTCACTTGCTCGCCTTTCCATAAAGAACAACTGGCTGTCCTTCAGCTTTGGCCGCGTCTTGTTTATGGAGCTGGTATCCTTCATGTCACTGCTGCACAGTTTCAACGCTTGCGCGCTACAGTTGTGAGAGCATATGGGCATGGTAAAGCCGGCGCCAACCCTTCGGTCCGGCTGGGTTGCTTGAGGTATACAGACTACTTGACCCAGAAGCTTTTCGGGGATGGAGATTGCTCTTAGACTTTCGTCGCTTGGCACACAAACAGTCTAGCCTGCTTGGTTTCTGGACACGGTTCATGGAACGTTACAGTGGCAACTTGCATCCTGGCCCTTGCTCCTTTTTGTTGCAGCTGTTTCAACACTTGGGCTGGTATGTGGCTACTCCTCCATCCATGGTGGACCACAATGGCGTTGCCTTTGATCTTCTTCTATGCTCCAAGTCATCTCTGTGGAACAGATTTGTCAATGCTTGGCATACATGGATCAGTTTGCAACTTCGTACCCGGGCTTCATGCAGGCAGGTTGTTGGACCTTGAGACCATGAAGAAACCTTGCACTTGCGGCCAGTGGATTCGTCGTGAACCCCTTGTAGGTTATCAGAAGACCGCAGCTGCCGCTCAATATCCGAAACAATTGTGCGAGGCCTACTGCAAGCTCCTGATCACAGCCTTCAAGCACACCCTCCAGTTAGAGTACTGGCGAAGCATGCTCAAGACCAAGGAACAGGAGGTGTCAACACTGAAGAGCAAGGAGCGCATCTACCGTGGACCTCCTGAAGGGCGACCAACAGCCGACCCATCCAAGAGGGTTTGGGAATCGACTCAAATCGCACAGGACGTGAGGCCGCTCATGGGGATGTCGAAGAAGGCCAGAAGAGAAGAGGAGAATGAGCGCTACATTGGCGGCGTCCGGGGAGAGCGGTGGAGAAGCTGTCGGTGTTGAGGAGAGTTGGAATGGACGTGGGCCGGATTTGGGATTGCTTCATTGAAGACTACCCGGAAGCGCTTGAGGTGGCCAAGAACTACAGCTCCCAAGGCAACCGACCCAACGTGGAAATGGCGTGGAAGGGGGCGCTCAAGCAGTTCTTCCAGACCCGGGCCTTCACGGACATCATCTTGAAGGACAAGTACGAATTCGACTCCCCTTTGGACCCCGAGCTGTGGGAGGCCTGGTTGAAGGCAGCGGCGGACCCGGAGCAGCGTCTGGTGGACTGGATCTGGAAGGGCGCACGCGCGCTCGGCATGAGCAGGGAGATTCCATGTTGCGGGATCTTCCCAACAGCCGACGACCCGGAGCAAGAGGCGAGCAGCTGGGGATGTCGAACTATAAAAGCTTCACGGACGAACCGGAGCATGAAGGGTTGG